ATGTTAGTATCCAGACAAATGATGAATAATATTATTCTTCCAATCACAACTATCAATTTCAAAAACGTTTTTCTTTTCTTTTGCATAGATATAAATAAACTGTTTGTGTTCAAAATATCTCAAATACGGCTGCACAGACAGAAATGAAAATAACAGGGAGTTTAGGTATGACCCAATGAAGAAATGAATAAATTTTGTTGACGGCCCGGTGTAGGATGTGGATGTGAGAACTAATTAAATGGGTTTAAGAGCAAACACTTCATACCAGATATTTCAAAAAACGTGTCAACTTTATCTGAATGAAAATTTCGTGATGAATATTAAGCTGCCGTCTGTGGTTAAAAAACGTATTTCTTCATAATTCATAATAGACCTTCATTCGCGTAATTAATTTTCTATAATAGTAACTATATTAGTTGTTAACATATTACAATAGAGAATTTGAACAGTCACTGAAAATTTGCTTTTTTGGAGAACTATTATAGTTGAGCCAGGGCGAGTGCGGCACCATCTTTGTTGTTGTTATGGTGATGCTAGGTAATCGCAACGCGAGATGATTTCGTGCGGTTTCTGGACAAAAGGGCAATGACGAAAATAGCAGTAAACCAGAACGGGAATGATAAGTACCAAAACGGCAATATCAACTACCAAAATGGCAAAACTAAAACTGCAAGGGAGAAAAAAAAAAAATCAAAATCAATGCCAAGACTGAAGCGCCGCTGGGCGCGGAAGCAGTTTATAATTTTTTGAATTGTTTTTTTTTTTTTTTTTGTTTGGGTTTTTTTTTTCTGAATATCAAGCGACTTTGTTGGATACGCTTGAAGGGTCACCCTCTATAAATATGGTTTGAAAAAAAAAAAAAAAAAACTGACATGATATGCAAAATATATATTGAATCAGGGCGTTTTAAGCAGACTATTATTGATTCGGTGATTCAGTTATTAACTCTGTTGCCTACTGTTAATGGTCAACTGAAAACCTCATGCAAGCGGGTCCGTTTGTGGTGCAACAACGAATTCACCATTTTGGAAACTATGTAATTTTGGGGGCATGGCGGCTCAGGGTTGGCACAGAGGGTTTACGAAAGGCCAAATGCGGCGCCACCACTGGTGGTATCATGCACGTGCGCATCATGAAACATTTTGACAATATACGCTGATTTTTAGCCACATACAACGCCGCTAACAAAACAAGAAAAAGGGTTAAGCATTCTCAATACGAAGGTCGACAGACGAGACAAAAACGAATGAAAGACCTAAGGCTATGATTAACCAATCTTTGGAAGAGTTATACAATAACAACATTTATGCATATCTTTCTACAGTTATGTTTTATTTACAATTAACAGAGGCCCACTTTACAATAATGTAGGATGATCAGGGCGCTTGATATGTGGATTAGGAACTCAATCAATGACTTTCTTCGCCACTAAGGGTCCCTTCGTGTCTGTGCTACCCGGTAACCCGGTACCAGCAACTCTCGTCTTCCATCACATGGGTCAGTCTGTTGAAAAGCCATAAACCTGAAAAATGTATCAATTATTTTAACAATAAACGTAAAAAATAATATTTAAAAAATAAATTATCAAGGTTAAAAATGTAATATATCAATAATTTAGCCTAGGCCGTAATACAGTATTACAGACATACAGTAGGCATGTCATTATAGAAGTGTTGCTGTTTTGACTTATTGCTGTTTTAGTCATTGTCGTTTAAATTTGACTTATTGCCGTTTTAGTCCATTGCCATTCTGGTCAAAAAGTGTTGCCGTTTTTGGTTTTTGCTGTTTTGGTCATTGCCGTTTTGACTTATTGCCGTTTTGGTTTTTGCCGTTTTGACCTGTTACCTTTTGTGCAAATCTAAAGCATGTGGCTAGCAAAACATGTTAATTTTCTTGTTTAACACACCAAAGATATATCAAACCTGCGTATACAATTGTTTTTATTCGTTTCACTTTATCGTGAGTTACAAAAACATGTTTTGTTTAGTTTTAGAAATATTAGTAAATATTTCGGCGATTTAGCCTTACTTTTGGCTGACTAAAGTTATTTAATTTTTAGCTTGTGACTGAGGTTTCAAGAACACTGGGGAGAGTGTTCAAAAATCTAAAGTAAACATCGATAATAAAGTCTTTCCCTAAATTAAGCTGAAATATGGAATTATGTTTACTTTGTGATAGAAGAAAATAACAGAATTGTCTCTTGCATTCAGGCAGCTGGCACACAAATTGAACAATGTGCCTATACAGTTGGTATACTGCAGTTTCGCCCATTATAGACGGCCTGCGTATTGTAGTACTGTATTCAGGCACAGGGTGAATGTATGCAGTCTATGGAGTGACTGCTGTTGTTGCTATTGTTATTGTTATTGTTTTTCTTAATCTTATTACCTCCGCCAACGAAGTTGGCAGGAGGTTATATTTTTGCCCCTCTTATTTATTTATTTGTCATTCGGCAATTTTATTTTGTGAACAGCCTACAGCCCATAGTTTTTATCATAAATTCATCAAACTTTGCCACAATGTTCCTTTACCTAAGATCTAAAGCTGATTAAATTTTGAAGGGTCATGGTCAAAGGTCAAGGTCACAATCAACAAAAAACTAGCTTTTAATTTATTTATCTACAGCCCATAGTTTTAATCACAAACTTGTCAAACTTGCATGGTCACAAGGCTCCATGACCAAAGATCTCATTACCTCCGAGTCCGCCAACGCTAGTTCTTTAGACAGGGACCATGCTGCTCTTTGCTAGGGCCTAGCTAATCCCAGTAGGCCCTACTGTATCTAATTGAGGCCTAGCCCTAATAAATGTGTCCATTTCTAAAATGCGGATTTTGCGGATTCAGGTAAAATAGCATGAAAAAATAGGCCCAATATTATTATATTATTATAATACTATTATTATTATTAATATAATGTTATTATTATATTATTATTAATATTATTATTATTATTATTATTATTATTATTATTATTATTATTTGTTGGTATCATACACTGAGAACCTAATCCGCAGAATATAAAAATAGGCCCAATATTATTATATTATTATTAATATAATGTTATTATTATATTATTATCATTATTATTAATATTATTATTATTATTATTATTATTATTATTATTATTATTATTATTTATTGGTATCATGGGCGGGCATCGCTAAAAAACCTGGCGAATGTAAGGCCCTCGAAAATATGACAATTTAGCGGTTTCGAAAACATGTTTAATCGATTTTAGAGTCGTAAAAATACATATAATTTTAATATTATTATTTTTTTTAGATATTTACACTGGCCAGTAAGTTATAATTTTATATTTTTATATTATAACAGAACCTACAATAGCACCACCGACCACATTTTGTACAACTGAGAGTATGTTTTTAACTATTATGTATAGGCCTACACTTCATTTGTTATCCAGAATCTGATACAGGAGCTCTGCTATTACAACAAGAGAGACAACTGATACTCAGTTCAACATTAATGTCAATTAAAGTAGAACTTGTTAAATGTTGTAGTTAAGTATTTTACCAATAAATCAGAATGTTGTATTTATACAGAACCTACAACAATAGCACCACCGACCATATCAGTCACAATGGAGGGTAAGTTCTTAAATATTTGATTACTCAGAATCTCAAATGATATGATCAGCAATCAAAACAATAGTCAGTAATAATAATAATAATAATAATAATAATAATAATAATAATAATAATAATAATAATAATAATAATAATAATAATAATAATAATAATAATAATAATAATAATAATAATATAATAATAATAATAATAATAATAATAATAATAATAATAATAATAATAATAAGCCTTATAAGTATAATAATTATAAGTATAGTTTTCATAAGATTAAGGTGATTTGATTTAAACTTCCATTCAACTAAAAATATGAAGCATTTCCAGGCCCGTAGCCAGGTCATTTCAAGGGGGGTTTTCTGGGCGTGGGGTGCAGGGGCCTGTCTAAGGGCCACGGTGGGGTCAGGGGCGAAGCCCCCGAAGCCAGAGCAGTTTTTTTGTTTTTAATGGATCTATATAATGTTATAAAAGCAGTTATGTTTTGAAAAAGATCTATGTAATAAAAAGTTGGTAATATAATAAAATTAGAAAATATTTTCTGAGAATTGGCATGTTTAAATCACATTGAAAGATATAAAAAAGAAACCTCATCGCATAATCAATATCAATATACTCAACACGTTTATTATTATAGAACAAAAAAAAGGCTATTCTTCTTTTTCGTCCTCTTCCTCTTCCTATTCTTTTTCTTCTACTACTTCTTGACTCTCATTTTGTACACTGAAAATAATAGTACATGGCTAAAAAAAAGCACAAATATTGTCATTACTGACAGGGCCATCGTTAAATTAAGTCAGAGCCCAAAATATAGCATCATATTCAATACGTCATCTGGCATCATGAGAAACTAAACTTTAATTACAATTATTTGTTATATACTAGGCCTAATTCGAAATTATTATTTTAAGACTTTAACATAATACATACTGATTAATAATAGCTGAGATTTGATGCACATTTCAGAATTATTAATCGACGATTTTAGTATATCTTACTGAATATTTATTGTCTACCAAATGAAATATGAATGAATCTTTAGAAATACAATTTCTACAATATTAATTTTGTTTTATATCGATAGATGTTCGATAAATTCTATCTTTCTTTAAAAAAAAAAAAAAAAAAAAAAACGAAATTCAGCGCGTCTAGTATTTTCATTCTAATCAATGGTGTTCGTAAATGTGCACTGACGTCATCGTCGAATCCCAGGACTTTCGACGGTAAAGCTGGCCTACCTGCCTAGGAACCAGGCCAACCAATAATAATTAACAAAATGTATTTTTTTAAATATAGGCCTATGGCGCATCCTGTTCAACTTTTACAACAAAAGCCTAGGCCTAGTATCTGTAGTACGTCCTACTGTACTTAGGCCTAGGCCTACACTAGTTTCTGTTCGGGGTATAATTCTGTCCCTAAACGAACGAAGAGCGAACTTAGCTAGTCAACATCTAGGTCATGGTTTGCTGAAGTTGCGTTCAATTTAAATCTCCAAACTTCTGAAGCTGAGAATATATTCTATGAATGTAGGCTTGTATCGCTGGCTACAATTTAAAAACGGGTGACGAAATAATGAATTAGGTGCTAAATTTTGATTTAATGCTGGCTAAGTTAAAAACAGACATCCGACCGAGTGGGACTCATTCAAAAATTCGAGGGGGTTCGCTAGAAAATAGGGGGATTCGCTAGAAAAGGGAGTTCGCCCGAGCCATAAAACCCCCCTGGCTACGGGCCTGATTTCGAGAGACCTTCTATTGGGTCTGGCCTGCATCAAGCGCTGACTAAGGTGATCGCTGTTGATTATAGGTACATATTCTGTCACCACTGTCACCAATTCATTTTGTTGCAATTTCTGTATGAAATATTAAACTAGTGGACAAACCTAAATTGCTGAATTGTAGAATAAGATGGTTTTTTTTTCACTACGATGTCCAAGGAGTCAGAAGAACGTTATTTGTATGACACTCTGGTCTAGGGCTAGGTCTGGGAGGAGGCAATGCAAACATCGTCTAGTTTCCATTTGATTCTTTCACTCCATTTCAAATCTAGCGGGTCAATACTGTGACGTTTATTAAAGAAATACTTACCAAGGTTTTTCGATAAGATATTTTACGATAGTTTGAGGAGTTCAAAGATTTCAAAATTACGTGTATTGTGTGAAAAACTGCCACCAAGCTGTTTTTTTTAGAGTTATAACCCACTATAACGGCTTTGGTTTGGTGAGTAATTCGGTCTATTCATAATAAATTTTAAGAGATTTACACTCGCCATTAAATCGAATTGTTATACTTACACCTACAACAGCGTCGTCACCGACCACATTAGTGATGACTGAGGGTATGCTCTTAACTCATTATTAGTACATATTTTAAATTGTTTAATAAAAAATCTTGTTGAACCTTATAAATAATATTTATTTCTTAAATATTATACTTATACAGAACGTACAACAATAGCTCCAACCACCACAATATGGACAACTGAGGGTATGTTCTTAACTGATTATTATGTATTATGTTTTAAAGTTTGTTTTTTCTTAATCTACAAAATCTGCTCAGTTATATAATTGTAATATTAAATAACCAACATGTCCAACAAAATTAAAACTTGTTAAATGTTATAATTGATAAGAAACATTTAGATATTTACCAAAGGCGTAGATCCCGGGGGGATGGAGGGGATATATTCCCCCCCCCCCCCAATATTTGACAAGGGGGGGGGGGGATGGTCCATTGATTCATCCCCCTAATATTTTGACTATGTATGGGATAAAATGGAGCTTTACACACTTCGAAAGACTGTCACAGAAATAATTTGCACTGTCTTATGCGCTTACAAAGATGAAAATTAGCATAATGTATTAATGTTGATAACAAAATTATTATCTGGTACCAATCTAAGCTCTTCTTTCCTTAGATGTTAGATTTGCTTGCAAAGAGAGCCACATTTCACACTGAAGGGTGTGTACGACATCAGAAATGTTATATCAATTCCAAGAATGTTTAAGGTTATATCGGTTGAAGAGGAATTTATTGATTAGGCCTATAACAGCAAATTGCATCAATTTATTTTGCAAAAACAAGGTTTCCAGCTTCAGAGGTGGGCACATCTCCTGTCCGCACAAGGGCACACATTGGCGCTAACACCAGGCGCGTTACAGGGGTCTTGGGTCAGAGTGGGTATATATATATATATTTTTTTTATTTCAACCATCTTTAAAGAGGGTAACCCTTCTAGTTTAACCCAGTAGGTTAACTGACATTCAGGGGCCCTCTTTAATAAAATTAATGAACAGTACAAACAACAACGACGACGACGACGACGACGACGACATACAATCCTCATTTCCCGGTTAGTAATTTACCATACCCACCCCACCCCATCATTGCACTTACCGTACTTTGATCAAAGATGGATATTTTCTCCTTGTCCCCCAGTGGTTACGCCATCGGGCAGCATAGATCAAAGGAGTTATGAGAGTTTTTGAAGTGGAGAAGGGGTTGCATGGGTGTTGTGAGTCTGGTCATCATGATATCTTCCTTTTTATTCTTGTCTTTATTTTTCTCTTCTCTTTTTCTTTCCTTTTCTTTTCCTCTTCTTTGTTTTCTCTTATTACCCAGCCCGGTACGACGACTTGGTCGGCCCGGTAAAAACCGTCAGGGGAGGGGCAGTTTTCTCCTGCCCCACCCACCGCGTCTGTTACGACACTGGCTAACACGCCAATCATCCCCCCAATGAAAAATATTTGTCTACGCCACTGATATTTACATTCGCCAGTAAATTAGACTTTTATACTTACACAGAACCTACAACAGCGCCACCGACCACATCAGTGACAACTGAAGGTATGTTTTTTACTTATCATTATTATGTATATACTTTTTAAGTTTGTTCATTCAGAGTCTGAAATGACAGTCTCAAGCATCACCAGTAGTAGGGACAGCTGAATTTAGGTGGCTATAATATTTAAAAACTTCAAAATTAAACTTAATTGTTTAAGTACGTATTAATCACATTTTTATATGTATACAGTACCTACAACATTGCCGCCAACCACATCAGTGACAACTGAGGGTATGTTTTTTACTGATTATTATTATGTATATGCTTTTCAAATTTGTTCATTCAGAGTCTGAAACGACAGTCTCAACTATCACTAGTAGTAGAGACAGATGAAATTAGGTTATAATATTTAAACACTTTAATTTCCAACAAAATTAAACTTAATTGTTAAGTGTTTTTAATTGATTAGCAACTCTTAAATATTATTCAATGTTTGTATTCATACTGAACCTACAACAGTACTACCATCGACCACATTAGTGGCAACTGAGAGTATTTTCTTAACTATTATTATATATGTAATTTTAAAATGTGAATTTGTTCATTCAGAGTCTGATACAACAGTGTCAACTATCACCAGTAGTAGAAACACTGAAATTAGGTTATAATATTTAAAACTTCAATTTCCAACAAAATTAAATTTAATTATTAAGTGTTTTAATTGATTAGCAACTCCTAAATATTATTCAATGTTTGTATTCATAGTGAACCTACAACATTGCTACCATCGACCACATTTGTAGCAACTGAGAGTAATTTCTTAACTATTATTATGTATGTATTAAAAATATATGTGTATTCAGAATCTGCAACTACAGCTCAGCCATAATAACAGTGAAGACAACTGATATTATTTGGTAAAATTTAATTAACTTTAATGTCCAACGAAGTTAAAACTTGTTAAATGTTATAAATAAAAAGTACCTTTTAAGTATTAATCACATTTTTATATGTATACAGTACCTACAACATTGTTGCCAACCACATCAGTGACAACTGAGGGTATGTTTTTCACTTATTATTATTATGTATATACTTTTTAAATTTGTTCATTCAGAGTCTGAAATGACAGTCTCAACCATCACCAGGAGTAGGGACAGCTGAATTTAGGTTATAATATTTAAAAACTTCAAGTTTAAGGGTCCCTTAAGGTTTGAATTATGGTTTCATTTGGGACCCATATGGTTTTGTCCAAGTTAACTCATGGGCCCATTGTTTGCTCTATCTGGGTTTTTAAAGGGTTGAATCGGGGTTGAAATGTAAGGGGACACTATAAATTGGCCCATATGGGAAAGAGCTGCCTGTGCACCCTAAATCCATATGGGTCCCATAAAGTTTGCCCAAATTAATTTATGGGCCTTTTAAAGAATATATTTGGGTCCCTTAGGTTTGCATTATGGTTTCATTTTGGACCCATATGGGTGTAACCAAATTAATTCATGGGGACATTATGGGTTATATATCTGGGTTTTTTGAGGAATGAAATGTAGGGGGCCATTATAAATTGGCACATATGGGAATGAGCTGCCTGTGCACCCAAAATCCATAGGGGTCCCATAAAGTTCATGGGCCTGTTAAAGGATATATTTGGGCCCCTTAGGTTTGCATTATGGTTTTATTTGGGACCCATGAGGGTTTAGTCCAAAATAATTTGCGGGCTATGATGGGCTATATCTGTTTTTTTCAGAGCTGAATAGGAATTGAAATGTAAGGAGCCACTAAAATGTGTTGGGTACTGTATTGTGTTTTTCACAACTGTTCAACTGGTCCAATTTCCAAATGGTCTTTAGCTGGTCCCAGTTCCAACTTGTCTTCAGCTGCTGCACATGGTCCCAGTTTCATTTGGTCTTCAATTGGTCCCAGCTCCTTGTTGTAAAATAACAATAGTTTTAATCGACTCCTGTAGACGTACAAAATACACTGAGTTTAAGATATACAAACCATAATTTCTTTAATTAAAAAACATCAGCTGTACTTCATGGGGTAGGGACTTGCATACCCCTTCACATATCATTTGGCTTAAATCTTTACTGTTATGCTAACAGTCCTGTTTATATCAGCATTTTTGTCGATAATTAATTATAAGCCTATTATATTAAAGCATCACTAGAGATTGTAATATAGAACCATATTCAAGAATCGTTTGCGTCAGGCTGCATACAAACCAACATTCTTTGTGTATTAAAGCAGCATCTCTCCATAACCATGCATTTTCTTCCTCGATGACAAGGTAGATGAAGAATCCTACTAAAATTTAAGATAGTATGAATTCTGCACTTGAACAAATCATGTTCGAAATATTGAATCACAATGGCTTGTTGGCATTAAATTTTTTTTTCGGAGTTCCACGATTGCTGAAAGATACAAAAAAAAAAATTCTTTAAAAAAGAGCTGAGCGAAATATGCATTTCATATGAATAAATGGTCTCGCGGGCCAAATTTTTCCTGCAGGCCGGTTTTATTTTCTTAATCTGCAAAAAGCAGCTTAGCCATCAACAACAGTGAAGAAAACTAATATTACCTTGTAATATTAAATAACTTTAATGCCCAACGAAGTTGGTTAAATGCTTTAATTAAAAAGCAGCTTCTAGATATTTACACTAGTCAGTAACCAGATTTATTACTGTATTTATACAGAACCTACAGCAACAGCGCCAAAAACCACATTATGGACAACTGAGGGTATATTACTTACTACATCAGTTACAACTGAGGGTATGTCCTTAACTTACTATTTTATGTTTAATTTAAATTTGATTACTTTGAATCTACAACAGCAGTGGAGACAACTGGAACATCAGTTGTAATAATTATTAACTTTAATGTCCAACAAAATATGTCAAACAAAATAATAAAATAAAATAAAATAATAATAAAATATCTTTTAGACAGCTGTACAATATATACAGGCTCATAATAAAAGAACCGTTAACGGAAAGTCTCAACTTAAAGAAACTCTCCTAATTGGAGACTTGACGCTGAAACATTAAAACAAGGGGTCTGATCAACATGCATTTCAATCAAGACAATGCGTGGAGCCAAAGTAAAGCAGGTATCTCCTGCTCTAAAAGACATCGACCTAACCAATGAAGAATGTTGTAATCCATGCGGGAACCAATGCTTGTAGTAGTCGTAATTACAACAGAGATTCTCTACTGAAAGACTACCAGGAGCTTTCATCTAATGTACAGTCACAAATAACAGGTAAAGTGTAAATCTCAGAAGCCTGCCCACGTCTGGACGACCCTTACCTCAATGTGCGCGTACTGGAAACCAATGTTATGCCAAAAAACGAATTCCAAAACCATTTCATTGATAATTTCACAGCATTTAACACAAGCAATGGCATTGACACCTCAAAATTCACACGCCATGTTCTTCATATAAATAAGTATGGAACCGCTGCATTAATCAAGAGTATAAACTCAGCTATCCAAATCCTATCAGTCAAAAAAAAATAAAATCCTCAAATCCATCCTGTTGTCAATTCTGTGGAGAAAGCGGTCACGTACGTCATGTTTGTCATCATGGGAAACCTGTCCAATGCTGGACCTGCCATCAAATAGGACACAAATCCAAGTACTGCAATGCACCAAGCCAGTGAATATCCGATAAGGAAGCAGATAACATTGATGCCGATGAATCGTTTCATTTACATATGCTCTTTTCTGATTTTAACACATATGAGAACAAGAATGTAAAGCAAGGAACCTTCCATGAAAATTGTGAAATTTTAATTAAAAAGGGTATTAGTATAATTAGTTTAAATATTGTCAATCTTACAGATAAGTTTGATGAATTTAATTTCCTTATTGTAAATAATTGCATTGATATAATATGTCTAAATGAATCTCGTCTTAGTAATTTCATTAAGGATGAAGATATTTATATTAGGGGTTATGACGTTTTTCGTAAAGATCGAAACCGTGATGGAGGTGTAGCTGTATATATTAATCAACATGGTGATTTAGTTATAAAATGCGTTCTGACCGTATGAAGCCTGAGCTTGAAATGATTTGCATTGAAATATTTAAAGCCAATATGAAACCACTTATTTAAGCATGGTACCACCCTCCTGGATCAGAAATGCAATTATTTAATTATTTTTGAAGATGTACTTCAAAATATCGAAAAGTTCTAATACTAACAGTAACATTATTATTATTGGTGATGTTAATTGTGATTCACTTTCTGAAAATCCAAGCTGTTACATGAATAAATTAAAAGAAATCTCTACTAATCTATACTAACTACTATCTTAAACAAATTATTACAGAGCCAACTAGGACAAAAAATTCTACATCGACTATTATTGACCATATCTATGTATCTTGTCCTGAAAAATTTAGCGATTCCGGAGTCTTATATACTGGCCTTAGTGATCATGATGTTTTCTATTAAATTATAGGTAAAGAAAAAAAGCAACCTTCAAACCATCGGATTACAAATTGTAGCAACTATAACAAACTTAATGAAATCCAATTCAAACTAGACCTGATGAATGTAAATTGGTACGAAATCACAAACTATAGTAACATTGATGATGCACTTCAGAATTTTGAGGATAAATTTCTTTATGGTGCTAACAAACATGCCCCTATAGTGCTTGAGAAATAAAAATAGTTCATGGTTGAGTGATATTGATTAAACTCAAGAGGAAACGAGATGCATTAAAAAGGAAGGCTGTCAAAGAAAATTTTCCTCATCTTTGGGATGAGTATCGTGCTTTGAAAAATGAATGCAATGCCAAAAATAAGCTTGACAAAAAGATTTACACATCTAACCAAATGAAAACCAAAAGATGTAAAAAAGCTCTGGTCTAATATTATATTTATTGTTCCTAAGAGATTTAAAGACACCCACATTGCAAATATCAATACGAAAGATGGTCATACCTCAAACCGTAATGAGATTGCTACAACACTTAATGATTTTTTTGCACATATGTTGGACCCAACTTAGCAGAAAAAATTCACATGTGATAAAGGGGTAAACTTGAAATCAAAATAATAACATACCTACTTTTAATTTCAATCCTGTTAGTTACAAATACATTTATGAACTTCTAATCAAAGTTATCTGATACCAAAGCAACAAGTACAGATAACATTCCTGTCAAATTGATTAAGCTTGCAATTGATGAAATTGTCTACCCGATTACATATCTTGTAAATATTTCACTCTTTACACGCACCTTTCCTGCTAAATGGAAAAGGCATGAATTTGTCCTGTCTTCAAAAGTGAAAAGGAGTGAACCAAATAACTACAGACCGATTTCTGTACTACCTGTATTATCAAAAATACTTGAAAAGGTTGTTTTTGAGCAAATTTACCCATTTCTTAACACAAACGGTCTTCTATATGCTTAGCAATCAGGTTTTCGTCCAAATTTTTCAACATCTTCTTCACTACTTAACATTACTGAAAATTGGATTGATGCAATTGACACAGGACAGTTTATTGGTCTAGTTACTTTGGACCTTAAGAAGGCGTTTGATACCGTGAATCACTGTATTTTATTGGAATATTTTTCATTTAGTGAAGGTGTAATTAGTTGGTTTAAGAATTACATTAGTGATAGGTGTCATGCAACTGATATAAATGGTGTAACGTCATACCTTTGTAGTAGTGTTTGTGGGATACCACAGGGTTCCATACTTGGACCCTTACTTTTCATTTTATATGTTAATGACTTGCCTAAGAGTACACTAAATGTAAATGTCAGTATGTATGCAGATGACACTTGCATGTATTATTCATCTTCTAACATTAATGACATTGTCAAGGTCATACCTGGGAAATGTTCAGCAGTGGCTTAAAAACTAACAAACTCATTCTAAATATTAACAAAACAGAATATATGATTATAGGGACACATCAAAAGCTTTCGAAGATTTCTAATTTGAATACTAACATAAAAATTGACATTGTAAGTATAAAGAGGGTAAAAAGCTGTAAACATCTTGATGTGATTATTGATGAAAACCTCACATGGGCGAATTAAGCAGATCATGTAAAGGTTTTACCGGGCTTGTATTACTTAAGAAAGGCTGGCACATTAGTTTCACAAAAAATCAATATAACCTATATGAAACACTGATAGCCCCACATTTTTGACTACTGTAGTACAGTTTGGGGCAATTCTATAAATAAAATTTGTTTTGAGAAACTTCAAATCTTGCAAAACCGTGCTGCCAAAAGTATTACCAAGTCATCCCATTATGATTTCAGTACACAAGCCTTGCAAAACCTTAACCTACTGAAGCTTAAACAAAGAATGCAAAATATAGAAGCAATAACCATGTATATCATCTTCAATTTGAATGTTTCTTCATACCTTTCTAACCGTTTTCATATCAGAGATAATAACTATAACACTAAACTAGCTAATGGTATCAATTTTGATATCCCTAAAGTTAAAACAGAATATAAGAAAAATAGTCTCTCATTTCATGGTAGTAAGGTTTGGAATGATGATCTGAAATGTGCTCCTAATATACATGTTTTTAAAAGTTTACTTTCATAATGTTTACCTTTGATTTTGTCTTTTATCCCTGAAAAAACTTTAACCAATCATGGTTACTTTTGTTTGTTTTGATATCCTCATATTATTTTCTGTAATCACTTGTATTACTCCCCACCCTCTTTTGCTTCTTGGTAACCTTTTGTTTATGTGGTAGTTTTAAGCTCACTAACAAGGAAGACACCGACTACCATGCAAGTTACCAGGTTTTTTTAATCGTCAGGTGTTAGATTCAAATCAATGTCAATGTGTACCGTACACATTGGAGTCCATATATAAAAAAAACTTGTAAACATCAAGATTACAGTTAATATCTATACATCATTATTGTATCATATTTTCACATCAATATACTAATGTACATCATTACTACATGATACGATTACATCTTTAATCATTACAATATTACCCAACCATCACTACATCAATACTTAAATAAACAAGTGCGTGTATACCTGGATTTACACAAAAACTAACTTCGGAGGAACACAACCATCGATACACATCCATTATAGTAATCTAGGAAGGCATTAATAATGTAAAGATAAATAAGAAAGGAGTCTAAAGATATACTCATACAGCATTCACACAGCTGTACCTCTATGGCATGCATACCTATGCCATCACACCATTAATACCTTTCTCACAACCTCTAGAAATACTACCTAATACATTAGGCTACCATACTCGAATCCATATTACAAATCATTCACATTATCAATCAGATATTACAAGGTGGGTATAGAGTTACTATTAGCAAAATACAATGATCAATATGACAATGATTCATTAACATACCTGTAAACTTATTCAATAAGCTTACCTTGCTCAGCTTGCAAACCGTATAGTAACGATGGAAGTGTTCAACAGCCAGTAACCACATGAAGACCACTATATATACCCAGACAATCAATATCATTACGCGCATACAGTGTTACGTAAGATTCAGACAGCTTAATTACGTACCTCGATATAATACTCCGTGGTACTGTACCACCCTTGAGTGAATCAAGTGTATCTGTGTAAAAATAAAGTATATTATTATTATTATTATTATTATTATTATTATTATTATTATTATTATTATTATTACAATTGCCAGTAATTCAGACTTTTGTACTTATACAGAACTTACAACAGTGCCACCGACCACATCAGTTACAACCGAGGGTATGTTTTAAACTCCTTGTGTATATATTTTTAAAATTTGTTAACTCAGAATCTGCAGAAAACAATGTAGACAAGTGATATTTCAGTTGTAATCATAATTTATGTTTAAAGCCAACGACATAAAAACTTCGTTTTTGAAGCCGCGTGGTCTTATAAGATTATTATAGTTTTTATTCAATAGGTTAATAGGCTATTTTCTATAATTGTATAGCTTTTATCATACCATTACATTACAAACCATGTCTACACATTCATAACAATTATTAAAATTGTTAAAATAATGCCTTTAAAGAGTCAGGTTATTCGATTTAAATCCAGAAACAAAACATATAGGCCTATGAATGCTGTACATGTCATCGTGTCAAACTGTAACAATCATCATTTCCAGGATCATTTGCACACGAGTACACTGTAGAAACAACAGGCTAATTCAAGGGAGGGCCCAACCGGCCCGGGCCCTAATTTTTTTCAAAAATTGTAAAAAATTGTAGAAATAAAAAAAAATTCTGAGAGTGTCATTTCCGCGGCCATCTAGAGGTGCCATTATCGTAAAATTTCTTACTCAGCCCCAACTATGGTGGGGTGCAGCTGGTATAGACTCTCCATCTGTCAAACTCACTCCCTGGGCCCCCTCTATATCAAATTCCTGGATCCGCCACTGGATGAATATGTTTTGTTCAATTACAGCTGGCATAGAATCTGAGAATATACTGTATATGGCGCAATATGACTACGATGTCTCGTATATTGGCTGGTTTTTTACAAATCCAAACACGCACGATATTACGGGGTATAGCCGAACATACCTATCTTCATCTCACAACTGGACATCAGTAGCTGTTGATTACCACACAGGAAATGTTTCTTTCCATGATGCTATAAACCACTGGATTTTCCTAAGCGATAGTTTTTCAACACCCAATGGAGTGGCAAGTGCCATTGAAGGTGGAACATCTGGAAGAGTGGAGGCTATGACAATTGATTGGTTGGCACACAATGTTTACTGGGTGGATGAGGGTTACAATTGGATCAAAATGACGAATTATTTTGGTGTAGGAGAAGTTACAATAATAGATACTGGGCTTGAAAAGCCGTCGGGGATAGCCTGTCTTCCTTCAAAAGGGTAAGTAATTCTGAATATTGAACACAATAATTAATGCAAATTTCAAATCCAGACCCATAACCACAATCATTAGAATTTTTTCATCAGACCAATCATTACCATGTTATTCTCGTATTTCTTGATGTGACAAATTCCTACTTCATTAGTGTAAATTATAAACTTAAACTTGCCATTTGTGGGAAAAAAATCACCAATCTCTTTTAACCAGATTTATTGAAGGTTACCATTTGAGTGTATTCTAGAAGGTAACAAAGTAATGATGGATTTATTTCGGTGTTTTTCGATGTTTAAACGCCAGTGATAACCCACAAAAGTCTGAAGAAGACTTATTTTCAGTGGGTCCTTCTGGCTGTGTTTTGGCAGTGCACTGAGAGACAATCCTTAACCATTTTCCAAAGAGTGTACTGCGTTCTAATGTGCATGGGCCATGATGCACACGTGTTGAACTGCTTTCCATCTGAAAGACGATGCGCTATCGTAACTTGCATTGTAGTATTTTATACAGAAAAAAAAGTAAAACCGCGCTATTAACACATCACGTCAAATAATACAAGAGAATAAGGGGAAAAAACAAACAAATACAAAAACCAGACCACGCAGTTCTGTTTTTCTTAACATCTAAAATATAAATTTAATGACATCTGTAGCATCAGTTTCATTTTAAAGCATTGAGTAAGAGCTGATTTTTCATGTCTAAACTCTAATCTAGCATAGAAATTAATTTCAATTTTAATGTGATGTCTGGTTCATGCCCTGTTAATCTAGGCTTTTAGACGTTTTGTCAAGGTGTGACCACCTAGTTCAGCGCCGAATTAATGCAGATTACAAACTTTTTACTATGGAAGTTGTTAAATAGATTAGAGCTAGGCTTGGTTTGAAGGTCTATAAAAACATAAAATCTGCAATTTTCATAAAGTTAAATTAAAACGAAAACGTGCTCATTCATAGCCTTAAAATTTTCAAATTAAGTGTTATAACTTAAATTTACTTCATTAAACACAGAAATAAAGAAATGTAAAGCCCTTACTCTCTCCTTTTGTTTCATTAGATATCTATTCTGGACCGAACTGGGAGGTGTGGATCCACCCAGGATTATGAGATCATCCATGTCTGGAGAAAATCCAATCACTATTGTTACAGATGTGAGCGAACCCAAATCTGTGGCTGTCGATACCATCCTTAACAGGTAACACAGTAGCAAAAGGTAACAAAGATGGATAATTCCTGTCTGTAACTCTACAAAATTCCATATACAAGCCATTATTATACTGTAGCTATATCGTATATATTAGATATATAAATTAAACAGATAGCATTAGATTATTAAAATCAAGATTTTCTCACTATTTACTTTGTAGACTTCTTTCATTTCTGTTGTGTTGGCTGTATTGATGATTTTAAAACATCCTTCCTTTCATTTTTGCATCTAAAATTACCTTTAGCACATTGGATTTTGCATTCCTTGTTTCTAACTGGCAAATATAGCTTTACTACCTCCAGCACATTTAATATTTTTACAGTTATTGTTATTGTTTTGTGTTATTGTGACTTCTTGTTAGGGTTAATGCTTTTAATTTTATAGTTATTCATGTTATTAGTATTGTTTGCATGGCGAAGTAATAATACATTATACATTATATGCTTGTAGTACACAATCGCCGTCGTCATAGTATTGTAGCTCATATGTTGTCAATGCTAATTTCCAGTGGGTAACGCCTATACGCTCTCATGCGGCGGTCCGCAGGGTCCCGACCATTAGGTGCCCTGACCATTATGGAGCTTTATTGATACGTAACAGCATAATGTGTGTCTCTGACATCGACTGTAGGATATATATCATATTTTATTCAGTGACGGAATGATTGGGGCCCAGCCGATACGGGCCCAATAAATTCGGGTTTTTTTAAATGGAGATAAAAAGAAAATTATATTCAAATTTTAAGCCTGTGACTGCCATTTTTGGTCATCTAGAGCGACGTTCCGCAAACTGTGGTCCGCGGCCCAAATTTGGGCCGCGAAACATTTTTGGAGGGCCGGGAAGCTGTCTGGCAATTGAAAAAAAAAATAACAAAGAGACGTTTCATCATGGAGAAAATAATTTTTAATAAAGCCGCTTCATTGTTACAGCGAATGCGTCGCTTGCACACGCTGCTAAAGTGCCAGATGATGTGTACTATTTAAGTTATAAGCCGTGTTTGTGTCTATGCCCCCTCGGGAGCCTTTATATTTATTCCTGATAGTTCTAGTGTGCAACATTATTTTCTATAAATAAATATACTGTAAATATACCTTTTTTAAAGCATTAAATACATGTCAAGCGCGGATCCAGAGTTTACCCTGGCAATCGCACAGATGGGTTCCCATATTGGGAGGGTCATGAGAAGAGAGCTAGCTTGTTTTGTCGCTGGAGGATAAATTGTAGATGTTCGAAAGTTTTTGTTTTCTAAATGCTTTGAAATACACTTCGTGCATTATGAGACGTCTATTATTGAATACAATCTGAATTCATAGTTTTTCACTACTTTGCTATAGACAATTAATAATTATGATGATGATGATGAGGAGGAGGAAGCTGTACAAGAGTAATTAACAGGCCCTTTGATGTGAAGTGTCAAGCGAGGCCCGTAGCCTAAGTTACGGTTGAGAATTTGGAGACATTGTCGTCGTCAAATGTTCAATGCACACAGTCGGACAATAGATGATTTATGATATCTGTTTTGTATAGAAAGTAATATGAAACCCAAAAATATCAGTTTAGGCATTCATTTATCTGTCTGTGGAAATATAACATATGAATCATACAAAATAAAAATAATTCAAATAAAATAAAAATATGTAAAAAACATCTACACTAAATCAAAATGGAATATTCACTGCCTGTTGGATCCCAGTTTTAGTATTGCAGGGGCTGTTCTGAAGGCTTTACAGTATAACCAATCCCCGTATTTCTGATAGATCGCTGATTAAAATGTAAAATATTTCAGATTTTATATTTAGTACATTCTCAAATGCTACGGTATGTAAATCTCATATATCCCAAAATTACGTTATATTCATATCCATGCACCGAAGTAGAAAGTTTAACTTAATAATTTTGATATGTTTTATGTTGAATGGTTTTTAATGATAGGCCTAGTCCTATTATTACAGTCTAATATGACCACAACATAACGAAGTCCTCTCCTTTAAACTTCTAACTTACTAAACTTTCCGTATCTCAATATACATAGGGCCTAATATATATTTCCTTAAATCAATGCATATACAGTATAGAGAATGTTGTCTGTCAATCTCAGGTTCCAAATTTTAGAAAATTACATTTTTATGCATGCACCGACATCATGAGAACTTTAACCTAATAACTTTTATATGTAGGCCTATATGTTTTATTGTTGAATGAACTTCTTTAATCATGTTAAACCCAAATCACGTTTTATGCAAACACCGACGAGGAAAGATTAAACATAATAATTTTGATATGTTTCATGTTATGTCTGTTGATTGGTCTTAGTTAATAATATTACAGTTTAATGGCTTAATGTTAATTACAGTTTAATGGTTTACAATAATATTACAGTTTAATGGCCCCGGACGGAACCCCGACTTGAGGCCCTTGGCGGCCCCTAGCCCCAATCATCAGGCTGATTGGTTGAATCATGGTAGAAAGAAAAAACAATCAACAATTGTCAGAGGGGGGGGGGGTGTGGGGAAACACAAATGTATGGTATTATTTATTTAATTAAGTAATATTTAATTTGTGTACAATACAATTTTATCACTGAGAGAACAGATAATGATGTCAAAATATTGTATATAAGCCTACATGGAGGCTTCATGATCAAAAGGATTTGGTATGTTGGTCCCTGGCGCGGCTGGGCTGCTGGGCCACCGGCTTGGTGCCTGGAATCGTAAACAGGCCGTGAAATAAAAAAGTTTGCGGAACTAGAGGTGACATAATAATAATTTATATTTTTATCTAATCCCCAACCATGGTGAGCTGGTATAGAGTTATATACCTTTCATCTGTGGAAGTCCCTCCATGGGCCCCCCTATTATAAATTCCTTGATCCACCACTGATATATCATTTATTTCATGGTTTAAAATAATTAGAATACAATGGCAAACATTATTTAAAACACTATGAAATCAGTCCCAAATAGGGTCCCCAGTCTCAGAAAGCCACAGGGCCCCCGGCCCCAGCATTACGCCACAGCTACTTTTTTTTTGGTGTTAACAGGATTTACTGGACTGACAGTAGTGTAAATGAAAGCAAAATTGAATCATCCGACCTAAATGGTGATGACAGGAGGACAGAAGTATCACAATCAATATCAGATGGGGTATTTGGCAGTGTTTCAATAGATGAAGTGAGTATTTTAAATAAATATTTTATGTTTGTCATAGTAGAACACTCTTTGTGTACAGCATTACTTCTTACCACTTCACAAAGCATGATAAGCAAAATATAGAAGAAAACATGAAAGCAGCTCGATGGGGGCACATGAAAGAAAATTAATGCTTCATTCCAAAAATTAAGTATAATGAAATATTTGCGTGCAAGACAAGTTCACACTTTTCACACTTGATTCCACTTAATTGAATTTTATTTAATTTGAAGAACTCTGTACAATGTTTAATTTATTATAAAAGGTGATATACAAACATTAATAATCCTCATAGGATTACATATATACGAGTGTAACTGGATATGGGAATGGTACTTTAATTCGGTACTATAGCAAGACGACGGCCAGCGGATTGTTGTACGAAATTAACTTCCCCAGTACAGTTCTTATATATGATATATATATCGCCGGTCCCAACATCCAGCCAATACCAACAATGTGTAAGTAACGTCACATTAAATAAATTTCTTACAATTACAAAACACAACACACAGTATAAAGATAACAATAGAATAATAATAATCTTTTTTAAAACAAATCCAAGTCATATTGCCCTAATTCAACGTTCTTTAACATACAATTTACAAG